TCTATATTGTAAAAAAGAGTTACAATTAACATAGCTTAGTTACATAGACATAGACAGTCTATATATGTAATTCTTGATCAAAAACATTTTATCAAGTCTATCACAGACACTAGTTGTATGTAATTTCAGTGACACAGATTGTAGATGTCTATGTGATAGATAATTATATCACGATGAATTTCCGACGGCGGTGCGCAGGGAAAGCAGGCAAGACGCGATGAATTTCCGACGGCGAGTTGTAGTGGTTTAGAAGACTAACAGTGTAAAAAAGAATGAGGCGAATTTGGTCACACAGACACTAAAAGTTTGTAATTATTCAAACACAAACATGTAATATATGTATTTAATGTATGAAAAGTGCACTTGTCAAATATACCAAATAATATTTCACAATTTTTTCTTGTATTGTAAAAATAAAGTAAATATGCATAAAGTAATGTTTGGTCAAATAGACAATAAACGTTTGTAATTCATTAAAAAAAATATTTATTGTGTGTGTAACCTGTATCAAAACTAATCAAACAAATATACACATAATGGAGCATAAGGAACATTTCACAATTTTCTCTAGATTGTAAAAAAATAAAATAGCTATAATTACCACTGTTTTGTTACATAGACACTAAATATATGTAATTCTTGATACATAGACACTTATTATCTGTGTAACCTGGATGAAAATTTCACCCGTTAAATATGCAAAATAATAGAGTATCAAGAGCATTCACAAATTTAATTATGTTTAAAACAAAAGAAAAAACAACAATCAACTTTATTTAGTTACACAGACACTAAAATTCTGTAATTGTTTGAACACAGACATTTAATGTCTGTGTACTCTGAGTGAAAATTGCACCACCATCTCTGCCAAAATCAACTGCTCTGGCGACATTGTTGAAGACCAAGAAAGTTGCGGTGACAATCATAGAGGAGCGGGCGACGAGGGGGAAGCAGGTGGCGGCGAAAGAATTGAAGGCGTGGTTCGTCGCCCTACTCCGATCCAGATCTCGGCGACGACGACGATGATGATGGCGCCGTTGTAACGCTTCTGGGCGGCTGTGGGGAGCCCATGCCGTGCAACTTCAGGGGGCGCCGAAGATGAAGCTAGGGAGAATGAGCGGAAGAGAAATGCGAGATCTAGGGAGAAAGAGAGAATGAGTGAGAAAGGGAGATGATGAAGGCCAGGTGCTGCGTCAATCATCGGCAAAGAGGGAGGGAGTTGAGGAATCTGAGGAGGAAAAAAGAGTGAGGAGGAGATATCTATGAATGAGTGGATAGGGTAGGTTAAGGAATGGGAGTGAGGGGATGTATATGGTGTTCAATTGGGGTACTCCAAGTGGTGTACCCCTAGCAGGACCGAATTAAAAAGCAAGTTTTCAAATAACTCTAGTAAACTATATCCCAAAATAAAATGAATTATTTTAAAAATGGTATAGGGCAGGTTCTCAAACGAAAATACCGAACTAAACCATCCACTAGCACAAAAATGTTAAATATTTAAATTATTAAATTAATTATACATTTTTATGTGTTATCTTTTGGTAAATTTAAATCATAGGGTATTTATTTGGTGTGAATTTGACATACTTAAGGTAATTTTTTATAGGACTTTATTACCTAAGACTACAATAACTCAAATTATAATTTCTTTTGTTGAAACTCAAACTCCAATAATTATGTTCCTTTCAAAAAATTCTAACTAAGTAATACACATATTGAGTAAAAATGCATAAAAATAGTGCTCCAATTTCTTTTGATTACGCTGATTGTTGTTTAGAAATAAAAATATTTTCAAAGCATCAAAGTATTGTACGTGGTATGGTTTGGCATTAGTATGTCATGGTACCATCTCGTTTCTGAATGACATGGCACCAAAGGATTTGACATAAAACTGAAACCGTATCGAACCATTTTAATAATAATGATATGGTACCTAATTGGTATTAGGTATGCTTCGTTTTGGCAGTGAGTTTGTTTTTAAAAATATTATCTTACAAAGTTTAGAAAAAGTTTTTTTTCGGGTTGGCAGTGGGTTTTTTGTTGAAGGTTCACTGCAATGTGTGTTTTAATTTTCTGCAGTGTGTTTTTTGTTTCACTTAGGTTCTCTGCAGTGTGTTTTAATTTTTAAGGTTGGCAGTGTTTTTTTGATCAACGTAATGAATTTTTTTGGCTTTGTTGAACTCGTTTAGGGTTTTTTGTGAATGTTAGACATAATTCATTGCTTTTTTTGGGTTTTCGTTTTTTTGGGTTTTTTGTTTTTTGGGCTGCTACGGGCTACTTACGCTGTGAGGAGGAAGAGGAGGCAAAATTTTGGTTTGTTCCTTCTAAAAGAAATCTGCTGCGTGCTAGCGTGATGGAATGAAGGGCTTTCCATCTGAAACTAAAAATTTAGTTTTAATTTATTATTGGACCATTTCATATTTCCAATGGCTACAATTTAGTTTTAATTTATTATTTTTCTTGGCGTTTTTGTTTGTGGATGCGTGTGTTTTTTTGGACAGTGTCGTTTTTAAGGATTTATGTATTTGAAAGTTAGACGTAATTGATATTTTATTTGGTTTTTTCTGTTTTGGCAGAGTATTTTTTGGGATTTTTCATACTCCACTGAAAATAATTGTTTTTTTTTGTGTTTTTGGTTTTGTGTTTTATTGGGCAGTGTAGTGTTTAATTGTTTCGTAACGGGTCTAGAAATAAAGTATTCTACCATTAATGAAAACAATAGTTTTTTGGATTCCAAGTTACTAAAGTGATCAAACTGACAAAGTTTTTTGGGGTTTTTTGGATTAGGAGGTACAAAATAGTTTTTTTTTGGATTTTTCGGATTCCAAGAAACATTTGTTGTCAGTGTGTTTCTTTTGGTTTTTTGTTCTCTATTGAAACATATTTGTTTTTTTGGGTTTTGTTGTTTTTTGGCTGTGGGTTTTTTTGGCTTTATGGGTTTTTTTAGAGAGGCAGTCGGTTTTTTTTTGAATTGTTGGCCGTGTGTTTAAATTGTTGTTGGCAGTGTGGTTTTTTTGAATTGATGGCAGTGGGTTTAGAAAAGGATAGGAGAATGATGAAAGCATTGAATTTCTCCACTTTTTGGCAATGGATTTAAATTGTTGTTTTACATTGATTTTGAACTATTTGGCAGTGCATTCGAAATAACATCTATGTCAGTTGTTCTTGGTTTTTAATCACTGGATACATTCTTTTGGTTTATTTTTTGGTTTAATAAATTTTGGTTAAAATTTGATTGATTGGGCTCAGTATAAGGGGAAATGTATTTCTATGAACTATGCATTATATTGTTTTAATCTTTCAATGGTACAAATTTCATCATGTAAGTGTGGTTAGATGGATTTGCGAAGCTTACCTTGATGCTCTATTGTTGTTGTAGGAAGCTGAAGTGGCCTCTAAAGGTGTTATGCAAGATGGGAGGATTAACACGTATTGTAACGTGAATGAGGTCGCAAAAGAGATAAAGAAAATTCTGACTACAGAAGAACTAGGCAGATTCAGAGCATCTCCTTTTGGCGTTATATTAGATGTCGCAGAGTTTCCATGGATTAGTGGTCATTTACTTATTACTTTGGTCAGAAATTGTGATAGGCCATCTGCAATGTATACTCACTCTTCACTGCCACATTATAAATAAGTATGAAATTCTATGCTCTTCACTGCCACAATATCTTTGAGATTGAATTTAGTGCCCTAACACATACAACTCTACCAAAAAAAGAGCAGAATTCATTTTAAGCCGTGAGATTTAATTTTTTATGGTAATTATACACTGCAATATGTAATCTCTACATTGCCAAAATATGTACTTCCACAAATTCAATGTGTAAAAGACACTGCCGCAATATATACACTGCGACAAAATATACACAATGTCAAGAACTCACTGTCTAAAATACACTTCCACAATATATACACTGACACAATATATCTACACTGCCACAATATATACACAGCTAAAAATTCACTGTCGTAGTACACTTCCACATTCACAAGGAATTTAATAAGAATTAAAAGAATGGAACTTATACCTTATTCACTTTTTGCAATTCAATGGTGCAAGTAGACAAAGTATTATATATTAATTAAAAAATCAAGTTATATAATAAGGAGTACAACTGTTAAAAGAATGAAAAAACCAAATAATGTGTCTCAACAACGTCAAAAATGGATGAAGGAAACAATTGAGAATTGTATATTATACGGAATACGAAAGAATGCAATGTCAGTTTGGTATTGGGTTTTTGCATGTTTTTACGTTATGCCCCAAATTCAAACACCGTGTGCATCTTTGCTTTCTACGCCTCTGGCCTATTTGAAATTCACCAACTGATGGAAGTCTCCTCTTCTTTGGTCTACCCGGGGGACACTTATTACAAGATGGAGGCTTGCAAATCACTAATGCAACATCCGACGGAACACTCCAGGAAGATTTATCTCCTATTGGGTGCACAATGCCATTGTAAGTAGCAACTAATGATTCTCGTTTGTAATATGGTGAGATGAAATCATAACATGACAAACTAGGGCGAGACGCAATAGCTGCAACGGCATGAACACAACGAAATGGTCCAATTGAAACTCACCACAAGTGCACGTTCTATCCCTAAGGTTAACAATAAATGTCCGAGTCCACCTATCAACGATCTCAAACTCATATGAGCATGATGGCTTAACCTGTATGAGGGGGAAATTATTTTTGCATAAATAATTATTTATGAAATGTAATATTACGAAATAATTCCATTATAAATATGTATTTTACAAAAATAGAAATGAGAAAATTTTCATAAATAATTACCTTCATCTTGAAGGCATCCCGTTAGACATAATTAAGACATTCTCTACTATTTACATTTTCAAATAAATAAAACTAAAAATGCAGGACAAAATTTTTACATTTAATCTTCACACTGCCCACACCATAACACCTAATCTTCACACTGCCAAAATCACAATGCCATTCAAAAGACCTAATTTTTCAACAGGGAAAAATTAGTGGTATTTCAAAATTGATTTCACAGCACCTAATCTTCAATACGAAGAAAACACAATAATTAAAACTAAGAATATAGGGAAATCCGAATAAAAGGATGCAAGACAAAATTTTAACATTTAATCTGCACACTGCCCACACCATAACACCTAATCTTCACACTGCCAAAATCACAATGCCTTTCAAAAGACCTAATTTTTCAAAAGGGACAAATTCTTGGTATTTCATATTTGATTTCACAGCCCCTAATCTTCAATACGAAGAAAACACAATAATTCAAACTAAAAAAACACATGGAAATCCGAATAAAAAGAATGAAGGAATGAAATTCAAAAATTGAAGGATAAGAGAAAATGATTCGCGACATCGAAGATTAGCACGTGAGAGAACCTGATGATTGCCGCTGCTGATCGGCCAAGGAATCCTGGGCGAAGGAGTGAGGACGCATAATCGCCGACGAAGGGAAGGAGAGACCGTGGATGGAGTGCAATTACGTGCGGCTATAGATTGGAATAGTGCCGAAATTTTTAATGAAAAAAAGAAAAAAGGGTAAAGTGTATGATAGGAAAGGGTTGACACCATAAATTGCTAAATTTATTAAAAATAATGAGTAGTGCGAAATGCGTATTTTAGGGTGAGTTAAAGTGCTATGCAGGGTGATTTCTTTTAATTTTATGCTCAAATATACATTCTCAATGCCTAAAAACTTTTCTATGTATTAATTTTTAAACGATTTAGAGAAAATGTATTTTGGATTGACTTTAAAATTTTAGGCTAAATTTAAATTTTTTGTTAATTTTTTTTAGTAAAGTGCGTTTTATTGCATATAATTAATTTTTTATAAAATAAAATTTCACATAACCTTTTAAAAATGTTTTACATTCAACAAATGTTTGAAAATAAAATTCATTAATTTTTGTCATTTCAAATAGTCTACCAAAAAAAATTTGGAGCGAATAATGCCCCCATCTAGCTAAATTTCTAGATCCGCCATTGGAATGAATTAATAATAAATACCCCCTCCATCCCGGAGTATTCGTCCAGTTTTGACTTTTGGAACTGTTCATCTAAGCACTTTGACTCATCAAATTCTCTCAATATGTAAGCCAAAATATAGTCATGTGTGATCTTGTTTGATTTGTCTTAATATATAGATTATTAATATATAATTTCTATAATTTTTTAATATACAAATCACAAGATAAAATGGATTAAAGAAGTGCATTTGATGGTATGTAAAAATGAAAGTGGACAAATAGTTTGGGACGGAGGTAGTAGATATCATGTGATATGTAAAGTAATAATTAATAAGAGTAAAATAACTTTTTGATAGAAGGTAAAAAGAATTCGTGAGTTGTGTCAAAACAAATTTCTTACGGAGTATTCATTAAAAAAATGAAAAAGTGGTTTATGTTGAACCGGTTGCCGTCTTTATACCTACTTTGTAGGGGGGGCTCCATGCTGACTCATGAACGGGCCCTCCATCCATATCACCTACGTATATATAGTTACGTGCACCGAACATTCACTATTTCACCATATTCATGCAAGTAGTAGTACTCCCTCCTCCCTCCGTCCCCCAGTTTTTGTCCACTTTTGACTTTTAGAACTGTTTATCTAAGCACTTTGACTCATCAAATTCTCTCAATGTGTAAGCCTAAATTAGTCATGTGTGATCTTGTTTGATTTGTCTTAACATATAGATTATTAATATATAATTTCTATAATTTTTTAATATACAAATTATAAGATAAAATGGATTAAAGAAGTGCATTGGATGGTGTGTAAAAATGAAAGTGGACAAATACTCTGGGACGGAGTGAGTAACTAGTAAGTGCCCTTCAAAAGTGAGGCGCACTCCGACACATTTCAAAAGATAAATTGCTCACTTTAGACACCCCTCATCTCCTAATCGGATGAGATTGAAAGAGATAATAAATCATGACTCAAACAGGCAATAGAGACTTAGACGACTTGGACTAATGCTTACTTTGCAAAAGGACTCCCTTCATTTTCAAATGTTGCTCTCACACTGTCGCTAGTGAGACTCGATTTTTAATATCTTATTCCAAATTTCAGCTCACGCACCAGTTGAGTTGCCCAAGATCATATTAGATACCTATACTAAGATCGATCATATTAGATAATCTATACTACTAAAGGTATGTACATCATTCAAACTTAGATATAACTTGTCAATGACCCATTAAATGTTGTATTTATTGTATAAACATATCTTAGCTTGTATCAGTTGTATGTGTCACAGATGTGTTATGATTATGTAGCGTAAATTCATTTTGGTTGGTGTACAAATAGTTACATTTATTATAGTTATATTACCTTCTAAAGAAACAGCATATAATATAGATGATTGAGAGTAAAACAAAACGAACGCCCTATTCTTTTTAGTTGGAAAAATTAACTTCCAATTTTTTTAACTTGTTCTAGTTTCTTCTAACTCCTTACAGTTTCTTCCAATTATGTCTAGTTTTTCCAACGATTTAAAGAAGGTATTTATATATGATGAACATACATTAATAAAATATATATTCAACTTTATAGCATATCACATCAAACACGGAGAAAGAGGAATTCCTTTTTTATTCAAAATTAGAGTTTTTTGTGTATTTATTTGGGTGATCATGTAACTGAGTGGGTTTTTAACACTTTAATTCTTCCAATATTTTTCAACTTCTTCCCGTCTCTTCAAAGATCTAACTCTGAAATTTCAACCCAAAAAATAGGGCCGAAGAATAAAATGTAAATTAAAATATAAAATTTGGCTCAAGGATATTATGCCCCAAACCCCATCTTCGAATGGGGAGCTCCCATCCCTTACACCCCCTAGCATCCTCACTACAGAAGTTGAACAATGCGAACATTAATGAATGCTAATACACAATCTAATAGTACTCCCATTTAGAGACTAATCGAGCCATATAAAAGGTTGCATTCTCAAATAAAAGAGTCCTAACATCATCAATATCTTCACCGCAAGATATGTAGAAGCAACTACGAACAAAGACCAACGCAATCAATGTTTTTTACGACCTCAATTTCTTAACATTGACATATTTTGTGAACATGCATGTCTCATGGATTCTTTGCACGCTATCTATATCTTCTCTTAACACATATTGTGCTCTTTAACAGCCTTGCGGGTGATAATATCGTCTCCATATTTGTTTTGTCTTCGAGAGATAGACTAGGTTCTCTACCAACTTTATGATGACACTCTGTCTATTTGTGTAAAAAATCTTCTTGTGTTAATTATTTTTTACCTAGCTCTTATAGATAATATGCTACCTGGTCATATCATTTCATTCCCAGCTCTCGCTGTTGCCACATACTCAACCTCTAGATGAAAGAGCTACACAATTTTGAAGCTTAGACATCCAACTCACAACTATTCCGCCTATAATGCAAATCTACCTAAATGTGCTCTTGCTCTAGTACACTTCCTCACTAAGATCAACATCCACTTTGTCACCGCCTATCTATAATGACAAAGTGGAGAATTGAAGTGGGACAAGTGTCATGCTCTCATTCTCCTCAGTTGTCTTCAATGATGTTGGAAAAATATTATAGATTTTGATGATGATGTATTTAGAATGTAATAGGGACTTAAGGTCTCCTCGAATATTCAAAGTAATTTTTCTTTTTAGAAATATTGTCAAAACCGAGTTCTTGAGATTTCCAATAAAGTTGTGATATTTCTTTAAGCGTTTTGATGCCTGAAGACAGTGATATGGAAATTGGATATCTTGATCGGAAATGTCAGAGACAAGTAAGGATTTCTCAAAGCAGATGTAAATCCTCAAATCCGGAAAACTATATGAGAACCGGATGTCTCGCTACAATCCGCTGAAGGCTAAGTCACCCAAGCCGGAAGACTAGCGCGAATCTTTTTCTCACCCGGAAGACTGAGAATGACTCCTCCGGATTTGTCAGCCAAGAACCGGATGCCTCAAGGAAGATCGGAATTCTCAAAAAGCGGACAAGTGAGAAAAGACTTAGAAAAATTATCTAAGTCTTGAATGAAGAAATTCTACCCGTTGGTAAGGAAAAATCAATCTCTTGATTTTCAACGGCTAGATTGAAGATAATTATGCTGATTCAAGAACAAATGACTCGAAGACAAAGTCTGGACCTCTAAAATGAAGAGTCTGTCCAGAATTCCTAAACAAGCACTAGAAGACAAACAGAGTAAAGTGCTACAGTTCTGAATTCTTGAACAAACAGCTAGAAGACGGATTCTGTGGAAAAAGGAATCCCTCC